AGACATGTCATTGCTCGTGAATGACGACGTTGATTGACAAGCTGTCAAATTATGGCCTGTCCTCCTCCAAAGACGTTTCGCCCTAGGTGCTTTGGGGAATGCGCGTCCCAACAAAATAAAAGTACGCGACCAATAGCTTCTCATAAAAGTATAAACGTCACACTTTAAATTTTCTGTGGCTATTTAAGAGGCAAGGAAAGTTCCAGTCGTTCTGCGATGTTTATTGCGCAGTAGGAAAAAAATGTTTTAGAGAGATTTTAATGTTCGTAAATATTGTGTTTGGGACATACAGTTTGAGTAGAGAAGAGCTTTGGAGGAGATGAACGCAATTGAAGGTACGTTCCCTCTTATTTGTTTCTAAAATGATATAAGGCTTAATAATCTGCGCTCTAAGCTCGGTCTTGTTCCATCTAATTGTTTTCGACTAGGCCTGTTGTTGTAATTGAGACGGAAGGTAGTACGTAGATCGTGAAATTCTGATTCACTCTCTCTTCTGATTTAAGTGTTAAGTTCTCATGATAGTTTTTGTCCGAATTTAGACTGCCTCGTTTCGTTCAGTTAACATTTCGTAGCATTTCTGTGATGTACCTTTACAATCAGTTTCGATGACAAATAGAATGGCTAACTCGATTGTTAAAAATTATTAGTTTTGGCTGTGTGTAGCAGGATAAAACGACAAAAATTTTCGTAAGCGCCTCGTTTTACTCTGGAATCTTTTTTAGCCAGTCTTTGTGGACAGATCTCAATGTTGCGTGATGTGTGCGCTTCGTTTATTTCATTGTGAAATCAGTCGCAGTTTAGAATCAAAATTTTCGTTTAGACAGTTTTAAGGCGGCTCTATGGTTTGATAGGTTTACAGAATGTACTCTTTCAAGTAAATAGCAAAATGTGTTTTAGTACAGATCTCCCAACATTGAAGAGCAAAATGGCTTGTTATAAAAACTTAATTCCATGAGGCTTGTTCCTAGCGTAAGGTATCTGACTCAACAACAAAGAATGCTAATTAATCAGTCGCTTAGGAAGGGGAGGAGTGAAGGTAGGGAGAGAACAAATTTGGATCTCCGGTATCGCGCGCGTGCGGCTCTTAGCATTTCGAGACATGACATGGCATTTAATTAAACGAGATGTTTTCACTCTTCTGTATAATGCTCGTGTTGGGAGCGCATTTCTGATTTACTATTCGTCGGGTAGTTTGATTATATTTTCAGTTCCTACTCGTTTCTACCACAGTGCAAGTATTGTAAAAGTTTAACTGTGTTCGCGCGAAGTATAGGCAAATGGTCTACATTTGAATTTAACAGTTTCAGTTTATTATCTAGATCAGCAATGTTTTTACATATAACTACTATTCATTTTGTTATGAGGCATCTGTAATCGCTGATTCTTGCATAAGTCGTCACTAAGCTGTTGAGAAAGTGAATTTTGTTTCAATCTATATCTAGATTTTCGTAACTGAATGTAAAACGGCAACTAGCGTTGAGCTAGCGAACGATTTAAAGGCACTCGAGAATGTCAGAATGCTGTGATTTGTCAGTAGATGTAACCGTAGCTGGCTTGTGTAAGCGTGATGTTAAGGACTGATCTTCGCAGTGTTCCATCGTGTTTGTGTTGCTTACAATAAATTCAGTAGTACTTTGCGTCTTAGAAATTTGTCATTTGTTGGATCGATTAGCCTGTTGCGTTTATTGACAACAAGGTAGAAGTCTCTTACCTTGGTTTTAACTAGCTGGGAATTTAGTTCTTGACGCGGTGACCTTGCTGCCTCCATCTGCAATTGTATACTTGCTTTGGTCTCGTCCTTTAAAAGTACACAATATTTTCGAAGAAGCGGGCTACAAATAGTAGCAAGACAATAACAGCGTGGCAGTGTATATGTCATTAAATACCTGATTGTCGTTCAATCGTTTTTATTTCTCGTCTAGTCGAGATGATTTTAAAAGCCTCGTTGCCATTCAGTGTTCCTTCTTCAATAATGTACCCTACTTGAGCCGTAAACCCTACGATGGTATAAGACAGTGTTTGTTAAAAAAAAACTGCCGTGAGACCGTTGGAAAGTTGACGCAGAATGTACTTACTCCCGTTTCTCGAATCGTACATTACGACTCCTTCCAGATATTCGTTGAGGAAACCTCCCCATACTTGAACCAACTCAACGAAATTATTCGTAGGATCCCTCGGCTGGGACATTTGGGGTTTGATTCGTAAGTGTAATTGTAATCTTTAAGTTGAAACCGCCCTCACTCTTGCTCAGAACAACGTGCTTTAATCGGCGAGTGATAAACCGACCATGCGCGCAAATTATGCTAATACCTTAATGACGGCAGCACCAGAATAATCTAATTTTAGTCCTC